TTTTTTTTTTTGCTGGCTCACGAGCTTGGCTCGAAATAGACTCCCCCCTACACAAGCTGAGTTGAGCCAAAAAATTTGTGACTTGACTCAACTTGAGCTCATTTCTGACTCTTTCACGAGTCGAGCTCGTTAAGCCTAAAACTTGCCTCGGCTCGGCTCGTGAACAACCTTAGTGTTGAGTAAATCTTGAGCAAAACCTTCTTTTAATTTTTTATTTTATTTTTGGCTTCCAAAGATTATAATATAAATTTTCATGACTTTGATTAGACCTAGCCTAAGCTAAAGTCAAGCAAAACTTAAATCAAGTTAACGTTACATTGATTTTTAATATGAATTAATAAAAAAAATGGAAAATTTTCTTGGTATAAACATAGATAGTAACTCAAAGTTCTTTAATAATTTTGAGCAGCTGAACAGTGACATTTGAAACGTAGGAAAGTGGTGGGTGAAGGGTAAAGAATAATGTGCTTTAAAATATAGTTAAGGTTTTAATTTGAGAAAACAATATCGTTCTTAGATACAAAACACAAAATAAACTGAGAAGATCTATGTCTTTTTCCCTCAAATTAGAATAAAAAACCTCTAAAAAACAAGCCTGATTCAACCCTAAAATAAATTAAATTGTAATGAGTAATACACATACGTAAAACTAATAAAATAGAAAACGAAGCTAATTGTGACACCTTGAGTAGTGAAAGCTTCAATAATTTCAATCTTCAAAAATTTTAAGAGCGAATAGTAAGAGAAAGAGAAAGAGAAAGAGGGAATGAGAGAGTAAAGAATTTTCAGGATAAAATCATAAAAAGCAAGTAGAGTCGTGGAGAAGAAGAGTGGAAAGAGTTTTAAACTTTTAATATAATATGGGTTTGGAATATATATATTAATAACAAGTATTTTTGTGGGTTGGATATATGTATAATAGTTCTCATTTTTTAAGAATCTAAGGGTAGGCCCGAGTATATATATTAATAGCAATATTTTTTTTTTTGTGGGTTTATATATTAATAATTTAAAAAAAAATTGAGGGGTTGGATTCGCCCCTCTGTATGTGTGTTTATTTATTTATTGTTTAATCTATTTTTAGTTTTTTGTAGATGATTAAATCTACAACCGAGTCAAATGAGGATGATCATGTGAGGACGAGGCTACTGACAATCTTGTAGATTTATAGGGACAAAGAAAAGTGAATGCAAAGGACTTGGGGGACATAGTGTGGTGTCGGCTGTGGGCACTCTGAGGCTCAGCTGTAGACACTCTGATACTCAAGTCAACACAATTGAAGCGAATGTAGTACAACTGAGAACGAGAAAGAGTTTTACTAGGAGTGTTTGGCTAGGGCACGACTTATTGGCGCAGAGTGGTTGAAAGTCAGCTCTACGGTTATTACTAGAGTAGAGTAGTCAGAACTAGACTTTATGGCGGGGAAATGTAGTGGTTCTTGGAAGCAAGAACTTAATAAACTAGAGAGAAGGTTGTGATTGAATGAATAATTAGAAGTTCTACCTTTGCTTTTATATGGGGCTCAAAGGGGTTGAGTCCTTGTAGAACTAGGTGTTCTCATAGTAGGAGTTTGAGTAAACAAGAAACTCATAGTGCTAATCCATGTAGGATTATAAATACTAGTTTATGTAGGACTAGGAGTCTTAGATGAACTAGAACTTGTATAGGACTATGATTCTGATCCAAATCCAACCAATTTTCAACAACAAACAACACAAAATATACCCTAAACTCAAGCTCAAATTCGGCCAAACACAAATGGAAGCAATGTTGCACTTACTTGCAAATTTTAGGTTAAGACAAGAATGAACACTTCAAGCATAAAGGAATTCTCCACCAACTTGAATCGATTCACCACCAAATCTCCTTGCCAAGACTTGGATAAAGAAATCTCAATAAGAACACAAAGTTCTCTCAATGGTTAAACCAAGTTTTTGATAATTTTCATGAACTAACTTTACAAGGAGAATAGTTGCCTTTATATAGGCAATTACAAGGTTAAAANAGAATCATAAAATAAAATTTAATAAAATTCCATACAAAAAAGTACGGAGTATTACACATATAATGTTCATGCAAGTATTGAAATAATACCACACCAGTACCCTGGGTCCTATGTCATACCTCTCACATATTTGTCCCTAATACAGACAAACAATTAGAAAGTCAACTAGGCCAATACCTGATTGATAATGATAATCCAACTCAGGCCAATACTCGGCTGACAATAATAATCCAACTCAAGCCAATATCGGTCTGATAATAATAATCCAACTTAGGTCAATACCCGCCTGATAACAATAATCCAACTCAGGCCAATACCCATCTGGTGTAATCTCACCCAACCCTATACCCCCTTGGTGTACTCCCGGTTGGAGCTCCACAAACATCCATCATGTCAGGAGGATATCATAATTGTGCAATATGACGGATCTTCTCATATGCGCATGCGTGGGATAAAGTGTAAATAGAAATACTAGCTCATGTCTGGAGAGGGATGAGTACTCCTGAAAGTGATCTCAAATCTAGAAATAAAATCACATTCAGGATTATAAATAAAAGGTACCCTCGTACGGGTATTTATAAATAATATCATGAAATTCTCATTATAAACCGGCATGTAAAACATGAAACCATTACTTATATATGCATGTATAAACGTTCATTGACCCTTAAATTTTTGTTCAATTCTATATGTGCGTTAAAAAATCAATGCCGCTGCATGAAGGCTTTTGGAATGCTGCCTTCATGGCTCATGCTCCTTTGGAGCAATGCGGCGACATTCACGCTTCCGCCCCGAAAAGCATTTTTCTCTCTTTCAACCCTTAACACCATTGTACAAACATATACTTAACAGCCTTTCCAACACAACACAATAAGCACCCAATTATGCATATACAAAATATTTCTTCATTCCCAGCTCAAGTGCTCGGTCCTTGCCTCCTCTTCCCCTATTTGTTTCAAATTTTCCATAAAGAATTAGGATCTTCTACGGAAAGAATGGAAGATCACTTTTCTCCCTCCCTTCTTACCAATTTCACTCGATCTCTTCTTTTTCCCCCATCTCAGCCTTCTCTCTAAATTCCTCTCCAATTTCACGTCTTCAAATTTGGTTGCAAATGAATAAAAAACGTGTTTATATATATCGTCTTCAAATTTGGCATATTATTGCACCCTCTAGGAATCGGCGAACAACTTCACCGCCCTGAAACATATAAAATTTTTTTTGACATGTCACAAATCACCCCCACTAAAACATACAAAATTTGTTTTGACATGTCATAAATCACCCCACGGTAAAGTCTGCAGGCACCCCTACTGGAAAATTTTCACAAAACCCCCTCATCTTTTGATTGTCTCCCCCTTAAATTTCTACATCTTCCCTTTACACTCAAGTCCCCTTGCCAAACTACTCATTGATCCTACCAATTCTTATTTCCTTACTACAACACCCTGGCAAGTTTTAATTTCTTTTAATTTAACCCCCTCCCCCCCATTAAAATCAATTATTAAACTTCAATAATAAAAAGAAATACCGGGACATTTCACATAAGGAATTGGTATTAATAATATTCCAATAACAAATTTTCTGCAATTTCATATATTATTGTTCAAAACTGAAATTTCAGAAGAACTGTAGAACGATTTTTTTATTATTTTTATGTTTGGAAAAAAATCTGATTTGAATTTATATATTAAAATTAGAACAGTGAGGATGCTACATAGTTTTATTTCACTAAAAAATACCCAATATACGAATTTTCTATGAATTTTTAAATTTACTGTATAAATTCTGTGTTTTCAGTTTTCTGTAAATGGGTCAGTTTTCGGAAAGAATTTCAAGTATCTTAGAAACTTTATTTTGCTTTGAAATTTTTACTGATGTTAATTTGATATGTCTATCTTCTATTAAAAAAATATATGTTGTTTTTCAGTAAGTAAAACATTTAATATGGATTTTTGAATGTAGTATGCTCAGTTCTGGAATTTCTGGACAGCACTGAAAAGAAAAACTAAAATTATTTTAAAATGGTTCTGGTTTGCCAATTGAACTGATATTTTTTTTTTTTTTTTTTTTTGGAACTACCTTAGTATATCTGTAAGTTATCTGGAAAGTTTCAGGGTGATCTTTTAAAAATCATTGGGCAGAAGTTATTCTGTGTTGGCAGGGTGTGCTGAATATTGGAAAGTTATATTTTGGTGTTTTATGGAGTTTAAGGTGCTGGATTATTTATTTAATATAACTTGTGATGGCTTAAATGAATGTTTTTGTTGCTAAGTTTTGATTGGGGAATTGAGGTAAGCATAATTTGCATTGTCTTATAATTGCCCACTTTTCATTAAAGGTCTTATAATTGTCCACATTTTGTTCTATTATTTTTCTCTTGTTCTATAAAAAGGACCACATTTGCCCAGATGTTAAATGTGACAAACAGATTTCTTTATATAAATGCTATCATCTCAAATTGCAGTTAATCTTTTGCTTCTAGCAATTGGCCTTTTGCAAAAGTAAAGCAAAACATTACGTATACAAGATTGTCCACTCTCGACACTAATAAATCTTCAACTAATTATTGGTTTAAATTTCTTTTCCTTTTTATGCTTATAGCCTTTTTTAAAGAATTTATACTATCATCATCATAAAATTGACCTTGGATTTAAATAATAATAATAAACCTGAAACATTGTGTGTGCTTTTTTTCTGGATAAACCTGTCGTCTGCACAAATAATTTCCGTGCTTGCTTGTATAGATTAGCCGTCTGGTGAAAAATACAAGAAAAAGCAACTAGTTTAATAGAAACAAAAGAAAGCAGCTTGGTGTAGAAGAGACGTTGAGCAAGAATGCAAGATTTGAAACCACATACATAAAAGACAATTGTCTTCCTTGCACGAAACATCCTTTCGCCGGTCCATTTAATTATTTATATTCTCTTCAGCCCTTTCAATAATATACCTTTCTCCCTTGTTAGCTGTGCTTTCATTCTAACAAATCTCCATCTTCAATCTTTCTTATTTATAAAAATAAGCACAATGGGGAATTGCCTTCCAACAAGTATTTCGAAAAAGAAAAGCAAGGGTTTACCTATTGAAACCACGTTCAAGCTTCCCTCACCGATACCAACTTGGCCATCAGGTACTATCAAATTTTCGCCTTGAATATCTCTAGAATTGACTCTCTCTTGTTATTTGCAGTGCAATAATTCATCTCTGTATGTATATATAGGTGAAGGGTTTGCGACTGGAACAATTGATCTTGGATATGGACTACAAGTACGCCAAATATCATCTTTTAACAAAGTTTGGTCCACCAAAGACGGAGGACCCGACAACATTGGTGCTACATTTTTTGAACCCTCTTCCATACCAGAAGGATTCTTTATGCTTGGGCACTATGCTCAACCCAACAACACTCGGCTTTTTGGCTGGGTTCTTGTTGCAAAAGATGATACTGATACATCTCTAAAGAAACCTCTTGATTACTCTCTTGTTTGGAGTAGTGAGTCTCTAAATATCAACCAAGAAGGCATCGCGTACGTCTGGCTACCCACACCCCCTGATGGCTACAAACCCGTTGGCCACCTCATCACAAACTCTCCTGTGAAGCCTTCCTTGGAAAAGATACGGTGTGTTAGATCCGACCTCACTGATCAATGCGAGACTGACACGTGGATATGGGGACCAGGTAAGGACAGCAATGCAAGTGGGTTCAACATTTTTGGTGTAACACCCACCAATAGAGGCATCCAAGGTATGGGTGTCTGTGTAGGCACATTTGCAGCAAAGAATAACAATTCTCCTTTATCAATCGCTTGTTTAAAGAATTTCAATTTCAATTCTAATTTATCTTCTATGCCTAATCCACTTCAAATTGAGGCATTACTTCAAACTTACTCTCCTTACATTTATTTCCATCCTGATGAAAAATACCTCCCATCTTCTGTGAGCTGGTTTTTTGACAATGGGGCATTACTATACAAAAAGGGAGAAGAGTCTAAACCAATATTAATTGATTCGATGGGTTCGAACCTTCCCCAAGGAGGTTCTGATGATGGCCACTATTGGTTGGACCTTCCCGTAGATGACAAGGCCAAAGAGAGAGTGGAAAAAGGAGATTTACAGAACGCTCAGGTTTATTTACATATTAAACCCATGTTAGGAGCCACCTTCACTGACATTGCAATATGGGTGTTCTACCCTTTTAATGGACCTGCCAGGGCTAAAGTTGAGTTTATCAACATTCCTTTAGGAAAGATAGGAGAACATGTTGGTGACTGGGAGCATTTGACATTAAGAGTAAGCAACTTCGATGGTATGCTAAGGAAAGTCTACTTCTCGGAACATAGTGGAGGCAGTTGGGTGAATGCATCAGAGCTCGAGTTTCAAGGGGGTAATAAAGTTGTTACCTATGCATCCTTGAATGGTCATGCGATGTATCCAAAGCCTGGACTAGTTTTACAAGGGAATGGAAGGATTGGAATTAGGAATGATACTGCAAAAAGTAAGATGTTTATTGATACAGGAAATGAATTTTCATTGGCTGCGGCCGAGTATCTGGGCTCTACTATCATTGAGCCGCCGTGGCTCAACTATTTTAGAAAATGGGGTCCCAAAATTAGTTATGACATTGCGGAGGAAATAAGAAAGATAGAGAAAGTATTGCCTGGAAAGCTCAAGCCTGCTTTTGACAAGTTTGTCAAGAGTCTACCGAATGAAATATTGGGAGAGGAAGGTCCCACAGGCCCAAAGTTGAAAAGGAACTGGAGTGGAGATGAAGTTTGAAGGTTAGCTAAAGTAATAACATTGATTAGAGTAATACTATTGCATTTATGATTTAATAAAGTTGTGCGCCAATTATATATTTTCCTTGATTGCAAAGCAATATTAGGTTGATCGTCACTCAAAGAATATTATTTATTTCTTTCATTAGTTCATGATTTATCGTGCTATAGTATATAGTGATAGATAATACATAAAACTTTATAGATAATTAGATCTGCCTCCATGTCGAATTTTGTCAATTACATTAAAGAGCTAACTTTGTATAAGTGGGGTGACTATATATGTCTCTGCACAGGTTAGGCCAAGTATATAATAATATAGTTTAAATTGCATATTTAGGTTTTATATCTTAATTCAAGACTATTTAAGATTACGAAGATGTTAGTTCAAAAGAAGCCAATGAAATTTAAGACCTGCATGTAAAGCATAAAACTGCATCGATTTCTTGTGGACGTTAAGAACTGTGTTTCCTATAAGATATATTTTTCTTATAATATTCAAAACCATCATTTATTGAGCAGAGTATATGTACATATTTATCAACTCTTAGAGTATGTTTGGTTTAAAGAATGTTGTATTACTGCGAATGTTATATTAATGGAAAAATAGATTACATTAAAGATTACTGAGAATGTTTAAGGAAAAGTGTTTGGTTAGGTTGAAATAAATTGGTGGGCATGTTATATTGATATGTTTGGTTGGAAGTTAAATGAGTAGGTATATTATATAGATTACTAAATTGTCCTTCTTTTAAAATATTAATACAGTAAAACCTCTTTATAGTCATAATGGTTGAACTAACTTATTTTATTACTATAAGGAGGTTATAACTTAATAGAGGTATAGTTAAAAAATTTCTTATTTCATAATTAATGTTTTAGTAGAACAATATTATGATTTCAATTCATGTTTTAATAATATTAGAGTTTCAATTTATCGATTCAATTGCCTATTTTTAAAACGGATAGAAGATCGTGTTTTGAAACCAACAAAGATAACTGTCCTTGATGGAATTGTAAATGTAGTTGTTACATGACAACAGATGTGAAGCCACAAACAATTGTTAATTGTTTTAAGCATTACAAAATTAGGACCCCAATATCGATGAATTGCAAGTTACAAATGAAGTAGATGAGGAGAATCAAAGAGTCATTGTAGAATTATGTGATCAGATTCTGACAACTTCATTGTACTAATCGAATGAATATTAATGTCTTCTTTAATCATCCAAATGAGTAACAAGTCATGTATACTTTAACAAAAGAAGAAATCATTTCTACAATTAAACAAAAAGAGAAATGAAATAATTATGAGGGTGATAATATGAAAATACAAAAAATTTCATGTCAAGAAACTTTAAACATGCTTGAGAAACTAGAAAGTTTTGGATTTAACAAGAAAATGTCCATGCTAGCGAGTAATGTACCTGCAAGTTAAAAGATGTGGTAACAACTCTAAAGCATAAATTATTGTCCCAAACAACTTCAGATAACTATTTTATTTCATCTTAAACCTTTAATGTAACATACCATATATTTTTTTGTAATACACAGATAATTATTACTATATGAAGGCAACTTTCCTTAAGACGGAAATTAGAAAAATTATAATTTATTACAATGTGGAGTTTATTCTTATTTATAACTATCCCAAATTGGGAATATAATTTTTTATGACTATGTAGACTTTATTTCTATATAGAGTATCACTATAGAGAGGTTTTACTGTATAATAATAATATTATTATTATTATTTGAATCATTTCTTTTAAATCCCTACATTTGAAATTTTGCTAAAACACCCTAGCCATATAAAATTTTAATTTGTAGCAAAATACCCCCACCCACCCTAAGCCATTGCCGACAACCAGCCAACACCCCCGACAGTCGCCAGAATGGCGCATGATCGGCCTGATCTAGCCGATCGTGCGCCTGTAAAGCCGTAACAGCCATAGATTTGACCGTGAAAAGGTCGTATCTTTGGCACTGATCTGGCTAAAAACAGTCAGATCTATTCTAGCCATTTCCTACTAGATCCACAACGATCTTGTTGTTTTCATCCTTTGGTCTGGTCAGAAACAACTAGATCGGCGCACGACTGACTAGATCCCACCGGTCGTGCATCGATATGGTGACTGCCGCCATCGGCCAACGATGGTCTTGGGTGACTGGGGGTATTTTATTAACTTTTAAACTTTTTTATGGTTGGGGTATTTTAGCTAAATTCTCAAATGTAGTGGGTTTGGGTAATGGTTATTTGGTAAACATTTGAGGGTAATTGTGTCTAAAATGGTATTTAATTAAGGGTAAAATAGGTATAAAAATCATATTACCTCAGTAATGTTTTAATAACACCCCTTACAAGGTAATTTGATTACCCTTTATATTACCAAGGTAATGGCCACATCTTTGGCTGTGAAACAACTAGATCTAGCCTTTTCCGACAATAGATCTACGATCCATGGTCGAAAAAAGCCTTATCGGCGCACAACCAACCATATGCGGCCGATCGTACGCCATTATGGTGATTTTTGGCAGCCTCCGATGACAGTTGACGGTGGTGGCTAGTTCTAGGTATAATGGTATTTATATAAATAATGATAATAACAAGGGCAATGTCATCTAAAAATTTTTAAAAGCGAGGAAAAAAGTATCTGCATGAGTGAATTGGGTGTTTTTGTAAATGTTAACAAATATAAAGCTATTTTGGACCAAATGCTCAATTGTTTAGGGGCAACATAGAAACAAAATTGTATCCTCCCCCCCCCCCAAAAAAAATTGTTTGTCATAAAATATTCCAAGAATAATTTTTTACAAACCAACCAAACATTGTCATATCCTCAATTTCAAAAATATTACCCCAGTTATCTAATATTAACCCCATCCAAACGACCCATATTTGTAACAAAAGATTACCGTACTATTTTATTACTTGCAAACCAAACAATTGAATCTTGAAAATTAAACAAAAATTACCGGAGTAATCTTATATGAACCACCCCCCCAAAACTGTTTGTCATAAATATTCCAGGAATAATTTTTTACAAACCAGCCAAACATCATTATCTGCTCAATTTAAAAAATATTACCCCAGTTATCTAATATTAACCCCATCCAAACGGCCCATATTTGCAACAAAAGATTACCATAATATTTTTTTACTTGTAAACCAAATAATTGAATCTTGAAAATTTTAAACAAAGATTACCAGAGTAATCTTATATGACCCCGAACCAAAATCACCCTTAAGGATAAGACATGGAAAATCTATGAATCTTTGAATCAGTGCAATCTGCAAGTGAGATATATTTCCAATTATATACGAGTTCGTTGTCCTGAACTTGAAGATATAGTTGAGTTCAAGTTCAAGACCATGCATAGATGATG